TAAAAGAGAGGTTGAACTAATTAAGTGCCATCAAGGTGAACTCAAAGTGACTAAAGAAGTTGATGATGATGAAGTGGAACCAGGTATAGATATTAAAGCAGAGCAAGAGAAAGATCAAGATTTGAAGCCAATAATTGGATTTTTAAAAGCAAGTGCTTGGGAGAAGGTGTCTAGGCTAAGCCCTGTGACAAAGCACTATTGGGCACAATGGGACCAGTTAAAGCTTGAAGATGGTATTCTTGTCCGGAGATGGGAAAGTGACGACCTGGCAAACGGTTATACCGAGAAAGTTACGGGAAGTTGTGCTGCATCAATCCCATGATACTTAACAGGAGGACATCTCGGAATTAGGAAGACATTGAGTCATCTACAACAAAGATTTTACTGGATAGGTATGACGCAAGATGTGGAAGAATGGTGCAGAACATGCAGTACATGTAGTGCTAAAAGGGGACCCAAGCATACGGGACACCCACCTTATGAAGAGTTGCCTGAGAATGTGTCAGAGTTTGTGAAAGTGTTATCGGAAAGGATTGATGATATTCATTATCAAGTGCATCCAAACTTAAAAACGTCTGCTGATTCGATGAAGCTATCTTATGATAAGAGATCTACTGAAGTCAGCTTTGAACCAGGAGACAAGGTGTAGTTGTATAATCACAGGAAGACCAAAGGGAAGTCTCCTAAGTTGTCTTCTCCATGGGAAGGCCCATATGACATAGTGGATCGGGTAAAATGTGGTCGGCGAGGTAAGCCAAAAGTGGTGCATGCCAACAGACTTTGGCGTTATCATGGTCCAGGACATTTCAGTTGGGACGAAGTGAACAATAGAACAAATGACGCTGCTGAAGATGTGTCACCTGAAAAAGCCAATGTTGATAAAGAAAATCTACTCAGTTTTGAGAAGAGAAACGGTGAAGTTCTTGATGAAGTTACTATCACTGATGACTGTTACCGACGATAGGACATTTCCTGATGAAACAGATGAACCCCACGTGAAGCAGAAGCCAACGAGACGGAGACCAGTACGGAAGAAGATACATCCGTAAAATTAAGACTTTGTTGAATTGTAATTTTGTGTTTGTAATTCTGTACATTTAATTAAGTTATTGTTAATTGTTATTGGTTTAATGTTAGATGCTATTGTTCGGGACGAACAATACTAAGGAAAGGGCAGTGTTACGAAAGCAGAAGTCACGTGACCCTAGTAACACGTCATTGACTTCTAGAAATATCCTGTTCCTTCATGAATGCTCTAGCGTTTACTAGATATGTGTTAGTCTTGTAACGTGACGGAACAATGTGTAATTTAACTGCGGAGAGAAAATATTGTTGAGCACGTGAGACGTTCGTTGTGAATTATAGCGTTTGTTATAGCGCGACTATTGAAATTAAGTGTATCGCAAAGTTGTATTCAGAAAGAATAAACCAGTTTTATTTAAGAAAGGACTTGTATCGGTAAAGTTTCTCCGGAAAGAATTTTTACGGAAAATTTAACTAACGAACGGAGACGTAACAATACGTTCAGTTTTTAACACTGGGTAGCTGAAGAATGTGTAATCTTGAACTCACCTGTACCTGTACCTGTTGGCTTGTGTTGTTAAAGGCACAAACATCTTCAGAAACAACACTCGGGTGATGTTCACGAAGAATGTAAAGTTTACCTAGAAAAATAAACACAACACAAAATAAATGATAGTACCGTACACAGACTCCACTGTTAATAAAACATTACCAGAAGTAACATTTGTAACAGTCGCCGTATGGGCGAAGGGGTAATAGTAGTAATTAATAATTTAATCAATAGGATAATTAATTAATTAAAAATAAATAAATAAATCAAATTAAACACATATATATTGGATGGTCGTATGAAGGAGAGGCAAGTAGGCAGTAGTGAAGGCAAGTCCAATGCGTAGCAGAGGCCGGTTGATCTTTGAAGAAGGAGCAAGTCGGCAGCCGATTTTGACAAGTTATCGAAACAAAATGAAGCAAACGGGCCTGGCGGGGATCAGTGGATCAAGGTGCCAAGGCTGGGATCTATGGATCCGATGCCTGAGAATTAGATGTGGGGGGAAACGGGAGTACCCCGAGAAAACTCACTTTAGAAGCCAAATAGAAGCCCGACTAGTGCCCAGATAAAGATCCAGTGATGCTTTGAGGGCCTGGAAAGATACTGAACAATGTAATTATTAGGCACAGAATATAATGTTATAAGTAGTTCTGTGGATCATGGAGGATGGTAGTGGTGTTGTATATCATGTTGTATGGGGATTTGTGGATCATGGAGGATGGTAGTGGTGTTGTGTATCATGTTGTATGGGGATTTGTGGATCATGGAGGATGGTAGTGGTGTTGTATATCATGTTGTATGGGGATTTGTGGATCATGGAGGATGGTAGTGGTGTTGTGTATCATGTTGTATGGGGATAGGTATTTGTGTATCTTGTTGTATGGGGATAGGTATTTGTGTATCATGTTGTGTGGGGATAGGTATTTGTGTATCATGTTGTATGGGGATAGGTATTTGTGTATCATGTTGTGTGGGAATAGGTATTTGTGTATCATGTTGTATGGGGATAGGTATTTGTGTATCATGTTGTGTGGGGATAGGTATTTGTGTATCATGTTATATGGGGATAGGTATTTGCACCATGGTTTGGGGGTGGCGACAATTTTATGAAAATCGGCTGTGAGTGAATTTCGATGGGTGGCTTTTGTGTAATATTTGGCGGCGAGTTTAGAGATGCGGTCTTGTATAGTGTGTAGTGATGTGTGTTTTTCAACGTACCATGCGGGTGTGTAGTGAGGGGGTCGGTAAGCGAAACGTATTACTTTGTTTTGCAGCTTTTGTAAAATCTGCTGTTGGTTATTATTCATGTTACATGTAATCATTGCGCCGTAATCTAATAGTGGTCTGATAAATGTTTTGTAAATGTACCTGATTATTTGTGGTCTACATCCGTTGACGTGGTGACTGATTATGTGGAGGTAAGCTATTCTTGTTTTGATTGTCTTGCAAATTTCCTTAAAATGCGTGTGCCAAGTTAATTTAGTGTTTATGGTTATTCCTAGGAATTTGGCGGATTTAGTGAATGAGATCGTGTTATTGTAGAGGTTTTATTTAGCTAGCTTGACACGCTTGAGTCTTTTGTTTAATCTACGGTAGAGTATGATTGGCTGGGTTTTGGTAGGATTAAGTATTATTCTCCACTTGTTGCACCACTGTGTGATTTTGTCAAGGGCTGTTTGAATTTTCTTTGCCGCTAGTGGAGGGGTCCCAGGAGGTGCTCCATAGGGCTATGTCATCGGCATATTGTGAGGCGTGCGTGAGGGGCGTGATTGGCTGCGGCAGGTCGTTAACGAAGAGTGTGTACAGCAGAGGGCTTAAGACAGACCCCTGCGGTACACCTGCGTTAAACGTGAATGGTTGTGAAACTGAAGTGTTGATTTTGACTTTCGCCGATCTATTGAGTAAGAAGTTGGAAATCCATTTTGTGAATGTCGTGGGTATTTTGTGTTTCATTAGTTTGTACTTGAGCCCGTTGTGCCAGACAGTGTCGAAAGCTTTTTGTACGTCTGAGAATGTGGCAATAGTGGCCTGTAGTTTATTAAACGTGGTTTCAATTAGTGCAACGAGGTGGTCAGCAGTCTGTCTGTTTTTGCGACCTGCGTTCTGGATGTGTGATAATGTATTGTTGTTTTCTAGCAGCCATAATAACCTTGTCGTTATAATTTTCTTTAGAAGTTTGCCAGTGCAGTTAATTAAGCTTATGGGTCTGAAATCACTTGGATTTATTGATTGGGTGCCTTTCTTGGGGATAAACGTGATGAGTGCTGACTTCCATGCATTGGGGAGATAACCCGAGAAAAGTGTAAGATTGTATAAGTTAGTGAGATGTGTCAGAAGTTTGGGGGATGCGTTTTTTAGAACTACGTTGGGGATTTTGTCATCGCCGGGAGCTTTGTTTTTGATATTTTTCAGGTGAATTTTAACTTCGGGTATGGTTATAGGGGTAGATATGTCTTGAGGTGAACTCGGAGTGTGGTGTTGGAGTGTGTTGACCGGGAAAGAGGTGGAAAAGAAAGCAGTGTTATCATTGATAAAAGAGTTGATCTTGTCCTGGTGTTTACTACTGAATCTGGCGTCCTGTGGAGTAACAAATGTTTTCTCGAAATGGTGTGCATAAATTTCTGTTTTTTGTTTGTCAGTAGAGGCTGTGAGATTTTCATATGTTATATTGCCAGTGCTTTCAAAAGGTAGAAGGGTCTGGTTTGAGGTTATCGAGCTTGTTGCAAAAGTAGTAGGGATCGAGGCTATTTTTATATCATCCATTTTATGTTAGAGTGTGAGCTAGATTAAGTAAGTTAATTGTAATTATTATCAATTTCGTTTAAGCCAGAAATCAGAATTAGAGTCAGGTTTAATAAGGAACGCAATATTATTTATTTATTTTATTTTTAACACCGATTATTATTATTATTATATTTGAATTACCTTTATTTTTATTACGAAAAACCAGTAAATTACTCTTGTTTACAGAGCGGGTCAAATAACCCCATCACAAACGGGATACATCTACATTAGCAATTATAAGAACTTGAGTGTAAGTTAAAAAAAATAAAATAAATATCAACGACACATCTGCAAAATCCAGTGCCGACGCGGCCTTTCACACAATACCAGGATTCCTCATGAGGGCAGCTAGGATACGACAGACATAGCCGTGGTCGAGGCGCTATTTATAACATCAGTTTCATGAACAATAACTGGTCATTTAGGGTTGTAGAAACTCCCTTTCTGGACACTACGAAGAAGCAACAAAACAATTACAAATATAGGTGCTTACTCTAGAATATTTATTTTTATTCAAGGGGGACTCTATTTGGAACAATATTCCAAAAAATAACCTCACAAATTGGCAAAGAATTTTAGAGTTTACAAACCTAATGCTTCGACAAATGCTGTCTGTCGCAAAATTTCTAACAACCTTTAGCTATAAAGTGGATGTTAACATACCATTTTCGCAATGAAGAATTTGAAATAAACTGTCTGTTTTAATGCTTGAAAAGATCAAAAACTTCTGAACCCTCACAGAACATACAATTAAAACGATGTTTCACTGAAGAAGAATAAAAAAATTAGGATGTTTTTACACAAACAACAATCAATAAGTTTTTAGTGTCAAAATACTTGACTTACGATAATTGTTGTTGTGATTGGTGCACGGATGATCCAGAAATATCCAGAATTTTCATTGGTTGTCCAACATCTGAAGAAAAAGACACGTCACTTCTGAACAAACGCGAAATATGGTGTCTGATTGTATTTATATATATAGGAGTAAATATATGAGATTGGCTCACAAGCGAATTCTGAAGTTTAAGTTAAATAAAATTATGCAAATATACAAAGCATTAAAAAACTGAATATTATAGTATTTTCAACATGATATTATTTCTACAATTTAATCTGGACAGAGTTATAACATCATCGTACGCAAAGTTGTTTCTTGAAGTTTAAATTCTAATTTTTTTTGTCCCAACCATGTTAAGCAAAATCAACATTATATAGGCGAAAGTCCACATCTCAAGGACTACAGATTTGGTTTTAAGTTTTGAAGTTAATGACTTATTATTTAAATACTTTAATAAGATATTCTTTAAGTCAGAAGGCCCATATAACGATTCGTTTGAATGGAAAAAAGCCAACAAATCTAGTGTCAAAGGTATTCGTTAGTGTAGGAGAGGCTGGGAGAAAATTACGGATTCTAAGTTCCGTAATTTGGAAAATTTTGATAACTTATTTAGTCTTTTATCTTAATTCAACTAACCGTTGAAAGTAAGTAGAACCGATTATGTAGCCACGTAATTATTGTTAGAACAACCCAAAGTATTGTTTGAGCATCTCAATTTACTGTCGGAGCATTCCAAATTATTGTTAGAACAACCCAAAGTATTGTTTGAGCATCTTAATTTATTGTCGGAGCATTCCAAGTTATTGTTAGAACAACCCAAAGTATTGTTTGAGCATCTCAATTTACTGTCGGAGCATTCCAAATTATTGTTAGAACAACCCAAAGTATTGTTTGAGCATCTCAATTTATTGTCGGAGCATTCCAAATTATTGTTAGAACATCCCAAAGTATTGTTTGAGTATCCAAATGATTGTTGGAACATCTCAAATTATTGTTGGAACAATCCAAAGTATTGTTTGAGCATCCCAAGTTATTGTTTCAGCATCCAAAATTATTGTTTCAGCATTTCAATTTATTGTCGGAGCATTCCAAATTTTTAGTTGGAACATCCCAAGTTTATTTAAATCGACAAATTTCATCACTTGTAAAGCCTCAGAAGTCGTTATGGGCCTGAAACGTCAACTTACAGAGAGTCTTCCAGCAACGCTCGTACTATAATCCATGGAATGAGGAAGATCAGCGGAAGACCTGCAAAATATCATGAAAGGAGTCAGTGGTCAGTAGGTGCGGATATAGTGCAGCTGTGGACTTCAGCCGCACTGTGTTTCTTTTAAAAACTGAATTTATATCATCAATCAGTCAGTCAAATTAAAAATAAAAACCTCCATATATCAATTGTAAAACATTTCTTATCCTTAAATAATCTAGCTTATGACAACCTCTTCTCTGCAGCAACATCTGATAAGGATTTAAATACCAAAACTGCACGAGATCACCAGGTCAGAGTTCACCGACAGGAACAACCTTTAGCAAACTTACGTTTTTAATGTTTCATAAGGAAATTTTCGTGCTGCACTCTTTACAAAGTGGAAAAAAAAGATAGTTAAAATTGTTTATACTAAGCCTTGTCCTTTTGCATCATCAAAAGTAAATCCTGTGATTTTAACTGTGTACCAGTTTAACGTCATCCTCATTGTAACGTCGAAACATGTAGAGTCGTCAACTTTTTTGAAGGCCATAGATAGACCTAAATAAAATATTTTTAATTGTGTACCAGTTTAACGTTGAATATTATTTATGATTTTAACCGTGTTTGTCTTCATTTGTATACTTCACACCGCGCCGCCTCCTCCTCCATCTCACCAATGAGTCTATCACCTAGGTTTATACTAGTCTAGAAACTTTTCTTTAATCGATAAATAAATGAACAAAGAAATTACCCGACCTTACCGTCCTGTGCATGGGCGTCCGAAGAAATTTTACCGGGGGGGGGGGCAAAGTAACGGGCGCCCATGGTCTTGTGGAACTTAAATGACTGAAGTACATTTACTGAATAACCACTAAGTAAAAGTCTGACTTGTAATGTACATTTCCATGCACGACGACAAATGGGTTCAATAACTGCCATAAAACCCCAGACCTCCTTTTGATTCCGCCACGATTTATATTTCTACCAGAACCCTGAATTTTGTGAAATAAACCGAATTTATTCCGCATTCACGACGACAAAACGAAGTAACATCTCACACAATCCAACGTGAGCTTTTGAAAACGCAGTTCTTGTCCTCGTCATGCCTTAAAAGCTCTTGTAACTAAAGATGTTTTTTTTTTTTTTTTACAGTCTGAACTTTCTAAACTTTACATATTGTCATTTTTCTAAGCTTTGCACGTACAAGCTGATTTCAAGAATCAACGTCATAGACCGAAACAAGTACTTTAATAAATTTACTTAAGCTCAGAATCAGCTAAAAAAAAGGGCCCCCTTGCGGCACAGCGGTATGACCGAGGACTTATAAAACTAAAAACCGGTTTCGATATCTGTTGTGGGCACAGCACAGATAGCCCATTGTGTTTAACTACAGACAAAACAAAAGCTGAAAATAGAATTTTAGGTGTTATATAGCACGGTCATAACGTTTCGTCTTTATATATATATATATACACTGAACTGTTTATCTAATTTCAGGTTATGTTATACTAGTATTTAAAAATGACTTAATACTAGACGTACTAGCGCAGGGTCCCCGAAAGTGTTCTGTTTCAAGATTAAATAAAACCAAACTTAACAGTAACACATATTTTTATTTCTTGCTTTTGAAGTTCATATGTCATGCTGTGTTGTAGCCTACAATGTGCATAATACTTCTCGTGATCCATGGCGTGCGCACGTTTTACTGGCGTCACTACAATACAAATTGCCATGTTAAGCGTACCTTATATGACGTCATTTTAGTGTCTACTGACTGACTGACAGCACACTACTTTATAGTGGTAAGAGTAGTTAAAGCAGGTGATCCCTTCGGCCTCTATTCGGGGAAATAACTTTCTCATATTGGTCACTGGAGTTTGAACTGAAAAAGAGGAGCACATTGAAAACCTTACGAATATTACTGTTTAACTTGATAAACTCACGATAGATGTAGCGATTTGTCCTAAAACTGTAGCCGAATGTAGAAGTACGGTTCAATAGCTTATCCAAATTTACACGAACTGAATATTTGAATACACACATATAAATATATGTATAAAATAATCTGAGTGGACAGAACAGAGGATAAACATAGTAGATGTTAAAGTTCGTGCCTTACCCCAGCCCATGACGACGTAAAGAGAGATGCCGCTGGTGTCGGTAAACATGGCCAGGAAAACAAGATTGTGAAGGTAAAGTCCTTCCATTAGAATCCAACAGTAATTAGCCATCAGAAAATAGTGCCATAAACTGGTGAAAACTTTACAGTCTATATTCTGTAATAAATAATACCAGAAACTAGTGGTCAATAATTTACAGTCTATGTTCTGTGATAAATAATACCAGAAAATAGTTCCAGAAACTGGTGAACAATTTATAGTCTATATTCTGTAATAATACTGAAGTTAACCTACAGAAAATAATATAAAAAACTGGTGAACAATTTACAGTCTATATTCTGTAATAATACTGAAGTTAACCTACAGAAAATAATATAAAAAACTGGTGAACAATTTACAGTCTATATTCTGTAATAATACTGAAGTTAACCTACAGTAAATAATACAAGAAACTGGTGAATAATTTACAGTCTATATTCTGTAATAATACTGAAGTTAACAATAGGCTATCTGTGCTCTGCCCAGCACGGGTATCGAAACCCAGATTCTAGTGTTGAAAGTCCGCAGACAATGAACGAGCGAAGCATTTTCCAAGAGAAAATTTTATCTTTTACAGATTTTACTTATACACCTATAACACTCCAACGGCTCGGTATGGCCAGATGGCTAGGGCGCTCGACTCACAATCTAAGAGTCGCGGGTTCGAATCCCCGTCACACCAAATATGCTCGCCCTTTGAGCCGTGGGGGGTATAATGTGACGGTCAATCCCACTATTCGTTGGCAAAAGAGTAGCCCAAGAGTTGGTGGTGGGTGGTGATGACTAGCTGCTTTCCCTCTAGTCTTACATTGCTAAATTAGGGACGGCTAGCGCAGATAGCCCACGTGTAGCTTTGCGCGAAATTCAAAACAAACAAACATGTTTAAAGTCTGTGCAGTATTTGAAAAGTATATAACCACGGGCTTAGAGATATGTCCATGGGGTTAGTCCCCCCCCCCTCCCCAGAATTTGTGCGTAATAATTCAGAAGGTACCTGTGTCATTATTGAATAGGCCCAGTTGGTTTGAGGAACCTAACGTTCCTGTTACCCTCGTGTGTGCGATAAAGAGAGTGACGGTCAAATCCCACTATTTGGTCTAACAAGAGTTGAAAGTGAGGGTGGGTAGGGTTCACTAACTGCCTTCCCTTTAGTCTATCATTTGAAAATTAGGGACTAGCGCACATAGACCTCGAGTAGCTTTGCACGAAATTAAAAAAAAAAAAAAGTAATCGAATATCAAATACTGAACAACTTGCGTTTCGCCCCCTCCAGTGGAACTTATACTGCTAGAAACCGGGTTTCGATACAATACAGCCCGTTGTGTTGCTTTGTGCTTAACTTCAAACAAACTTCCATTTCTTTACAACACTAACGTAATTTTCTTAACGGCACCGGATGTTGAAAGTACTGATGACGTATAAGACGGCACCGGATGTTGAAAGTACTGATACAATTAACGTATGACG